AGGGATTTGCCACATTACATAACACTATATAAACTGAGCAAAATATTGCTAATTCACGTCACTGACTTTGAGAGAAAAAGAGCAGGACTGTTTATGGTTTCTGGAAAATCCTTTTAAAACAGTATTTTGAGAGCCCATGTAAATCCAGTGTTAAAGCTGGAGAAGAAAAGTTGCTCCTTCTAGAATCTGTGGATATAACAGAATCCATTTCTGACCTTGAATTTTGTGGGGTCATTGAAACATTAAAGGTTAGATTTTATCTACAATCTCTCAGTTTTTGGCCTTTAACCTTACTGTATGAACAGATGTGACCAGCATACAAAAGGTAATTTTTTAGGGCCCCAGAAAGGTAAGTAATAGCTGTTCTGGTCTGCATTGCCTTGGGGCATTAGCAATCTGATTTCAGGACAGATATGCTCATTTCTCATGTTTCAGAGGTGTAATGCTTCTTAAGATAATGTGTTATAAGTATAATGAATTTTTTTCTGTCTCCTCATTCCCATCTCCTCTAACTATATGGATTGCATAAGACATAGAGCCTGCAGAGGTAATCTTATCACTACAGATGTTGAGGATGACTTGAGCATGTACCACGTGGGCTTTGTTTGGTCACCTGCTAGCTTATTCTATCACTGTGTAGTGAATGCCTAAAAACAGTTGGAGATTTGGTAAAACAGGTAAATGTGATAAAGTATATGTAGCTCAATACTGAGGGAAACAGAGACCTTGGAAACGTATACTTCTTCCAGACCTTGGGGCTGAATGCTTGTGATCCAAGAGAGGGGAGTGAAACTTTTGAGAAAGAAGCCTGGCAATCGTGCAGCAGTGGTGAAGCAGTGCACTGTTCTACTATAGCATGCAGATTTTGATATTGGGTGAAGTAATTGTTTTCTAACCTTTAAAACCTTTCACTTCCCTGGATGGAACCCAGCGAGAAGCAAGAATATGGCATTTGGGGGGCCTGGCCATTAGCTCAGTTGTTTAAGTGCCTGCTTAAATAAAGCAGTCAGGCTCAGGGTGCTGTGGTTCAATACCCAGATATGCAAGCCTATCCAGACCTGCGCTGAAGGCAACCTGAGGCCACCAAAAACAAAACAAGCTGAAAATCGTAAAGCTGGCTGGTAACAGTAGACTCAGGCAAGGCATTAGGCTAGTGTTGAGAACTATATTGGCAAGGTAGTGCACTGAGATCCATGTAATTTTATTCTTTGATTTTAGTGCTGTTGTAAATATTTTTGAAAGTATTCAGTTCCCTCTGTATTACCAAGAGATGGTTGCATTAGATGAGGTCTTCTTTTCTTTTTTTTTTTTTCTTTTTTTTTGTAGGGAGGGTGATGGGTTCAGTGGGGCTCCTGAAAAATGAAGCTGCTCAGTCTGGAAGAAAACCATGTCTAGGTCAACTTCAGAGAAGGACGAGAGCCCATGATGAGGACACCCTGCTTGTAGAGGCAATGGAAGAAAAAGGTGTTATCCACCGGAAACAGCAAACTTTAGTCATTAGAGAAGCCCTGTAAGAGAAGCATTTCAATAGTTAATGGAACATTGGACCCTTTTGGTGTTCCATTCTACAGTTTCTAAAGCACCAGTTACTTTCATGTAATTGTCATATGCTTTTCCAGATATTTTTGTTTCGTGTTTCATTGTATGCTTAACACTTTACTGTCAAGGAAGAAAGAAAAATGTAAAACTCTTTGAATAACTACTTAAAATATGGTTTTAAAGGGACAATTATGTTTTTTTTAAATTTATAATTAGTAGCTAAATAAGAATTTCAAGAGCCATCAATGAACTATCTAAGATTACCCCAGGGACCACCAGCTACAAACACATATTAC